GATACCGAACAGTTGCCTTAGCGCCACTGTCAATGACACTAATATGTGAGGTTGTTTATTCATACAATTCGCAGATCGAGATTCTATTCTACAAAATGTACCTCACATCCTGAACGACCATGTGAAATTCTTTGAGTCTACTGCGAATTGTTGTGGGAACACTGAGACGCCTAATGCATACGGTGATGTCTATAAGCAACATAAGAGTTTGTCACTTAAAAGCTTAAGTTCATTTTATTATATCAAATAGATATGGTTAATGTACCTGTATGATAGTCGATGGTGTTTGTCTGAAGTGGTACCATCGAAAAAGCCATCCCAATGTCCCAGCCAGCGGGCAAGCGTGGCTCATCTGGGTCCTCCTCAATCCTGGTAATTTTTTGATCAGCGGTTATGTGCACTCTTAACTCTCCTGCAACGATCCTTGGATTCTCTCTTGCTGGTATTGCTTCAACCGAATCAAACTGATAAAGGTTCCCGACTTTTATCTTGCGAGAAATCTCGGCGATGTCTTTTTCATCAACCATTGACTCGATTAGTCGTGCCTATAAGATATGCAGTTAAACGGTTCCAAATTATGTATTATAGTAGTTTAAAATTGTTGATGAAGAGATTATCTAATTCTGTAACTAAAATGGAAAAAAAACCTTTTTATCTATCCAGATCATGTGCATGCTAAGATTTTTAAGCTTAGGCGCCTCTCGATACTCGAGCCATGCCATCACAGGCCTAGCAATTACTATGCGGACGTTGGTGCCCAGACGCAGCCCTCGAAATGGCATGCAAGTTTCGATCGGATCTATAATAAGACAGTATAGGGAAATGAAACACATATTTTATCTTTGGAGCAGAGGATTCGAGATACCTGGTAGTATTCTTTAACAAAAATGGAAAGCATTCACCTTTGTTGTCGGTGGGGACCATGTGAGCGTCCTCTGTTGACTGCTGGTTTTTGGCCAAACCCTCCATGTCTTTTGGGGTCTTTACGCAAACAATGTGGATGATGATCAGAAGTTAATTCCCAAGTGTGAAAACGGTGAGGAAGAGGAGGACGTGGAGTTACCTTTGTTTTAAAGGCTGTCGTGTAGTTCGGTGGTGGGGCTTTCGCGGCGGAGCAAAGTGTATGGAAATGTGGACGGCGGATCTGGTTGATGAAGACAGTTAGGGATTATAAAGGAAGCGGTGATTTTGGGCCAGTTTCCCATGGGCTTCTGTCTGCAATCCTAAAGCATGTTCGGGCTGGGCTCAATACCATTCCATTACTATCAAAACGTAAGAAAACGTGGGCTCGGTTTTAGTAAGCGTTTAAGGCCGAAGAATTCAAAATGCAAACAATTTCTCCTGCTAATTTCGATCAAAGGATCATGATCAAATATTCTATTGTGTCATTCTGCAAGAACAGGAAGAACATGCCCAGAATTCAAAACGCAAACAATGTCTCCTGCTAATTTCGATCAAAGGATCATTATAAAATATTCTATTGTGTCATTCTGCAAGAACAGGAAGAACATGAAGAACATGCCCAGAATTCAAAACGCAAACAATGTCTCCTGCTAGTTTTTCATGATCAAATCAAAAAATTCACCTCTCTAAACTATTGAGGTACAAACATCAGGGATTTCCATATGGACTAAACAGAATAACCAGCGGCTAGCAAATTGACGAAGCGAGTACATTGGTGAATTTCCAAAATACCAGAGTAGTTAGGGGAAAACATTAAGTTATTTTTACAGAAAACAAAGCAACATGTCCTGAATAGATAACATACATAATTATAAATAAGCCGTCCCGACAAACTAAGTTCCAAGTAGAACAGCTTCTAATCACACAAAAGCATTAGGGTTCCAGATTGAAGCAATTCGGATTGCAGGAGGATTTTCTGAAGTCCCAGGAGCAACATAAGCTTCAGCCATAAAAGGCACATAACATCTGTCTTGAATGTACTGATATCCTTCTTCATAGGGTAGACTGAAAAGTTCCTCGGGTGACACCCAAACCAAGCCCAACACAGCTTCATGATCAAACACAACATCAACATATTCTCCCTCACACTCACATGTTGCTTGTAATTCATATCGTACCCTGAATTAAACAATAAAAGGAACGTTTTGATCTTCCTGAAATGCAATGGACAACAGATTATTAGCAAAACATAAAATTGAATCATACCTTGGAAAACCTGAACATGATTTAAAGACTTCTGGACCGTATGTAAATCTTGTCATTTCCAGCATACAACGAAAGAGAGCCTGAAGGAAGGAATTTGTGTTATAATAGGTAAAAGATATGACTATATATTTGGGATATGTGTTATCCAATACAATCAAAACAACAAAAAGCATACATATACCTGATAGGTCTGTGCATGGAACATTATATCATCCTTTAGTTGCTTTTAGGGTTCTTTTGGGAGGAAGAAGACCACGAAGATAACCAATAGAGCAGCGAGAAGTACTATTGATATAAGTCACTGGCATTCGATCACCTATGAACCTAAACAACAAAAGAATGTACGTATTGTTTTTCTAGCATCCAACAGAGCAGGTCTGTCAATATATAAACATAGAATTCGAATATAATAATACCTATTTATGATCTTCTCATAATGGTGATTGTAAGAACCAATGATCAGACGACTTCCAGGTGAAGATTGAAATACATATGCATCTCCAGTGGCATCTGCAATTGGCAGCCTTGTAATAGCAGTAACTGTGGTAATGAGAGGAAGTCGAGCTTCAGATTCCCCTGCCAACTCCAAATACTTTGTAACTTCAGTTCCAGAGTAGTACACTGTCGCCCTGTCCCCTCTATACAAAATAGCAAAAGATCAGTTAATCCCACATGAAGTCTAACAAACAAAAATCAGCACAAGAATATGCAAGAAACCTGATGTCTTCTATGATGAGCTCAAACCTAAGAACACCATTAATTGGAAATCCTGGAATCGTCAGATGAACAACGCAACCTGTAACATCTGCAATTCAATTCATAGTAAGCAAATAATCATGAATACTTTTTGTGCAAACAACTTTCCAGGAAGATACCTCCATAATTCACAACTGCCTCTATCTCTATTGGAATAGCCGAGAATGAAGTTTTCAGAAAAGTATTGACAGGAAACTTGGGATAACCCGGATTGTCAGGCACACAAAATATGATCTGTTCACGCCTTAAGGCAAAGCGAACTTCAGCTGGAACAACACGCCTGTTTTTCCTCGCAGGAATAACATGAAAGCCATCCAGGACATGTAAATCTCCTACTTTCAACTTATGTTGCATTTCTTGAATGTCATTTTCCTCAATAAAGGCCTCTAGCATATGTTCCTGTTAAATGTGATTTAGTGCATTACTACAATAAAATCAAACATAAACAATAAATATTACATTACAGAGACGAATGACAGACCTCTTTGTCAAGACACAACACATGCATTGTTCTTTTATGCCCCTGAGAGTCATCACCATGCTCAATCCATACATTAAGAACTCGAATGATCATAATATCAGTATAAGCACCCACACGTAGACCACGAAACACCATGCATGTGGAAATTGGGTCTGTGGCAAACGAAAGACAAAGAAAAACCCCAAAACTTCACACCTCGGCAGTGTTCATTCATAAACCAATAAATAGAAACTTGAAACAGAAAGCAACGGAGCCGATACCTCGTGGAAGAGTTGGACGTTTGAAATCACGCGGCATTATACAACGATGCCTGATATGGAAAGACAATGGAAGATCAAAAATTTGTTAAAGTGTCAAGAAACAGAAACAGAATGCAAAAGGGAAAACTATCGGCTAGCATACCCCATGAATACACGACTATCCCTGATCCAGAAGTCGCGAAGCACTGTAGTTCGTGGGAGAAGAAGTTCAGAGAACACGGGAAGTTAAAAAGCAGAATCAGAAGCGAAATGAAAAGGCGGTGGAAGTTGGTCCCTAAAACGTTTTCGCACCACCATTATAAAATTATAAATATAATATTCAATGGGCTATCAATTGTTCCCCTAATGGACCGAACAATTATAGAATGGGCTTCCCAAAAGCTATAGAAACTTAATATAAGCACAAAGGCATCTCCTATTTGGGCTAAATATGAGAATACTGGGCCCAATTCATATATCTACTTACATATCGTAAAAGAGGGCCCGTTATTTATATTTATCTATACGTGCCCGGGCTCGAAGCAAATTGAGAGAACACAAATGTTTCATTCGATAACACTTTAATCATGTAACCGCAGTTTGTTATTGTTTATTCATTTTTAACATTGTCAATGGTCCAGGTGATACCACACAATTAAACTAAAGTTTGCTCTTGCTGTATATTTAGAACATGGGTTGTACTCGGTTCCTCGTTTATGGCTATGTTCCTCAAATTTGGTGCTGTTAGGGTCAGTTTGTTCTGATATTTAGATGACTATCCACAGACATCTATATTAGGCAACAGATTGGAACATGTCAAATTCCAAATTAAAGCAATGACTTCCACCTGCAATTTCTTGTTAAAATAAACAGCCACCATCAACTGGTTGCTCCTCTATTCTTGCCTACATTCTAAAACCGTTGTAACCCATAATCGGATAGAAACCTTGGCCATTGATCCATGAACAACACTGGAAAAACTCAACACGCAAGCTACTCAATAGTGCACCTCTTGTACTTGCAAAAGCTGAATATCAAACAAAAGATAAGTGACATGAGAGAGAGATGTGCACCAAGGCAATCAACGTTATATTCGACATCATAAAAATACATAAACAACACCATTACACTACGTACACTAACTATACATAGATCTTTTGTTCCTTCTCACAAAAACCTAGCTACTTTCTTTGTACAAAAGAGGTTCATTAGATACACTAACACTTCCTAGCTCTGACTGTTCCTCCGCCCTCCAAATGTAACCATCTCCCCTATCGTTAAAAGCACCCCATCTGGAAACATAGAAGGGCCAAAGTGAAATTCTCTATACATACATTTATTCAAAATAGTAACAATTGCAAAGGCAACACCTGTTCTGCCACCATGCAATAATTCATGGGTCACCATTCAAATACATTATAGAGAAGAATGTTAACAAATAGTAAGAGTGGATTCTAATCCTACTAAAGAACGTAATCACTCGTGGGCTCCAAACGCACCCAAAAAATTAGCAAGAACCATTTCCACTCAAAGAATTTGAAAGCATAACATTGAGAAAAGCACGATAGGAACTGGAGCCACTTCTCTACTCTGAGTTCTCTCTCGTCTCGAGACCACCACCAACAACTGACCTTCCATTTCTTTCTCAAGGAGAGTCAAGCCAAATCCCTTTCTCCTCTGAGTCCTCTCTCGTCTCGAGACCACCACCAAGAACTGACCTTCCATTTCTTTCTCAAGGAGGGTCGAGTCAGATCCCTGTCTCGTATCAGAAGCCCAGAGAGAGAAGAAGCCATGCAAGCCAGAAAAAGAGGAGGAAAGGATCGGACCTCCGCGGGCAACGTGCTCAACTTCGCAAAGCACCACGCAGAAAATCCGACCCAAACTCAAAAAAACCGTAGAAACCCACAAAGATGGTAACGTAACAACAATGATCACAACAAACCTAAAACGCAAAAGAAGAGAGGGAAAAACAGGGAGTGGACGCGACCTTTAGCATAAGACTTCATGAAAACTTGCCGATCTGTACAGTCAGTATTCTATACTGGTCAGAAGTAGGCGCAAACAGACGACGCATTCTTCATCCTCACTGGTGCAGGGAAACAGCAGATGGCGGGCTCCTCAATCCTCATCCAATCAACCCCTTCATCCTCATCGAAATGAAAAAAAACCTATCAGATCCACACAACTCATAAAACAATCCTCGATTTAAGATTCCGAAAATCACCAACAATCCCTCAAACAAAAAGATGAAAGAAAGATGTGATTATATATCGATAAATCGGAGATTCCTGACGACGGATCAAATCCCTTGATTAATGAGCATCTTATCTTTGATGATGATCAACAAAGGTTACTGGCAAATACTATGGTTAGCAAACTGAACACAAAACAGCCTTTCAACTACCTACAATTACAAACAGAAGCACATGATCCAAACGATTAAGAGACTTGCAAAAAGAGAAAAGCAAACTCAACATAGAGAGACGGATAAATCACCTGGGACGAATACAAAACCTACTAAACTGGATCTTCTCCAGACCTCTGAACTGTCCTACAGTGGGTCTGGATCTCCTCCAGATCTCTCAAACCTTCTTCTTCGTGGCTTTCAACTCCGCCCTTCTCCCAAGAAGAGAGATGAAAATTCCCAACGCAGAGAGGACACCGAGGGAGAGAGAGAGAGAGAGCAGCCGGAGAGGTGAATAACAAAAGGAGAGAGAGTAACATGCTAAAGAGAAGCAAAGTTTTCTTTAAGCACCAAGCTGAAGAAAAAGAAAAGAAACAGATCCTCTCAATTAATTAATGCCTTAGCCTGCACAAAACAGTAATAGCCTCTCTCAGCGTCGAACAACGCAAGGACTTTCCAAGCCCTCCCAGAGACAACAAAACCCGACCTTTTCATATAGTAGAGAAAAAGCATGTCAAGGTATCTCTCTGTATCCAGGAAACCCTTTCCTGTTTCTCGAACGACCCACCTCTCCACTGTCCAGGCATGTCACTCTCATCCACACATCCACAAACCCGCAAGATCTCCCACCGCTCAATGATCCCTCCCCAGCAAAACACCCAAAGCAACTGAATAAGCCTCGGTCCACGCACCCGCCTGGGCCAAAGCAGCATATAGATCTCTGATGACGAACGCGCGTCAGAGCCACCAAACGACCCCAATGCAGAGATACTGAGCAACACAACTCCTTTCAATCAACTTTTCAGTCCCTCTCATGGCCCACCATCTCTGAGCTATCCCATCTCCCAGCACAGTCTCTCCCAAACCCGCCAGATCTCCCACCACTCAACGATCCCTACCCAGCAGAACACCCAGAGAGTAACCGAAAACCCTCGATCCGCGTGCCCGCTCGGGCCAAAGTCAAATATCGATCTCTGATGACCAACGCGCGCCGGGGCCACCAAACGACCGCAACTAAGGCCAACCAGAAGCCAACGACCAGTCCCACACCAACCAAGACCCCAGAGCCCGCCAAATCCCACGCCAGATCCCAATGAGGCCTCACCCAACTCCAGCCCCCACCGAAGGACACGCCAGTTTGAAACAGTAAATCTCAGTCACGTTGTACAGTAAAAGGTGTCTGCGTGTACAGTACACGGGCATGCAGCGGGTTTCTTTCTTTCAATTGGCTCTAGTATCCAACTCTTTACCAAAACAAATTGCACCATCCAAATTTTATGTTGGGGTCAATTTGGCTCAATTGTCCCGAAACAAGATAATTGAATAAAAAATTGATCCGTTAGAATACCTCATTCAAACAACCTTAAGGGGTCGTTTGGATGGGTTAATTGTCAATGTGGTATTTGTAGAGTTAAATAACTCATTTATTGTTTATGTGGTATTTCAGTGGTAATTGAAATAAAGTATCTCGTTTGGTTGAAATGCAAATGTGGTATTTGACATGCAGTATTTGATAAAAGCAGAGTGATAAAACAAGTTATTTCGAAATAACACATGGGTATAAGTTATTTCAAATAACTCGTTTTGAGTTATTTGCAATACTCACTGTCCAAATAACTCATTTTAGTAAAACGCTGCCAAACGAGTTGTTTGCATTAACTCATACAAATACTCCATCCAAACGACCCCTAAGTTTCAAGTATGAGTTACTACCTACATCATGACTAAAAAGTCATTTTTTAAATCATGGATTGCACTTACAATTTTTTATTATTATATAAGAGTGTTGTAACATCTCGAACTGTCATAACCGGGAAGCTCAATTAGTACAATATTGTCCACTTTGGGCCAAGATCGCACGGTTTTACTCTTGGGTATCCTCTCCAAAAGGCCTCGTACTAATTGGGCTAGGTGGACACTAATATACTAAGGGGCCCCTTCCCTTGTATTACCGATGTGGTACTTGGATTGTCCCATAACAATCCTCCCCTCAAGACAAGGACCACGAACATCGTGTCCTCTCCTCAGCGATTATCTTGATCCCAAAAACAGGCCAGACGCAGAACTCGATCTCTGTGATTATCTCTCATGGACCCACCAAACCAGACGCAGATCTCAAATTCTGAGGTCACCGAATGAGGGTCCCACCAAATTGACGTCCACCGCCCCGGATCCACCGAACTAGGCTCTGATACCACTTGTCGTTATCAGGTAGCCAATTAGTACTATATTGTCCGCTTTGGGCCAAGCCCGCACGGATTTACTCTTGGGTTCCTTCCCATAAGGCCTCGTACTAATTGGGCTAAGTGAACACTAATATACAAGGGTCCTTTCCCTTGTATTACTGATGTGGTACTTGGATTGCCCAACAACAATCCTCCTATCAAGCCAAGGACCACGAACTTCGTGTCCTCACCTCACCTATATTCTTGATCCGCCAGACACCTTGTATCGATGTGCTTCTCGGTACAAATATTTTTCCAGACGCTGATCCGCCAAACAAACGTGGACCTCCCTCGGTCCGCCAAACCAGACGCAGATCTCAAATCTCGAGGTCACCGAACGAGGGTCCACCCAATTGACGTCCACCGCCCTGGACCGAACCATGCTCTGATATCACTTGTCAAACTGGGGTGCTCAATTAGTACGATATTGTTCGCTTTGGGGCAAGCCCGCACGGTTTTACTCTTGGGTGTCCTTCCCCAAAAGGTCTCGTACTAATTGGGCTAGGTGGACTCTAATATACAAGGGTTCCCTTCCCTTGTATTACCGATGTGGTACTTGGATTGTCCCATAATACGAACCTTTTCCCGACAAGATATTGTTTGTATTGGGTCTACATCTGTCCGGATTTTACCTTGAACGATATATATCAAGATGACTTCCCATAAGGTCACACATTCTTAAAATACTTCACAGTAAGCACGTTTAACTTGCAAGTTTTCATAAGAACTACTACGTTTCACCACATAACTCCTCCATATTCTCCTACCACCAGAAAGTACAGCAGCGACCATGATCGCTCTAGATGGGGTTTCTCGACCGAGAGCAGCTCGCAACACAGTTATCTCTCCCAAAATCTGCTGATTACGTAATCTCTAACCGAATCGATAACAACTACCAAGCATGTGAAGAAGATTTTACTTCATCAAAGCCATACTCGTACGAATGGTTGGCAGAGAATTAATCACTTAGCTTGAACGACAAACACATTTTCTGAAAATGAAAGAAACATCGACTACATTGGTCCAACTGTCAGGGGAATATATATCGAAGAATCTCGCTAGAGAAGTTCGCTCGCCGGCCGGGTACGGAAGAAATTAAAGCGGAGGATCAAATCGCAGCGATCGAAATCTCCTCGCCGTCGGTCGGAATCTGATGTGATAGGTAATCATAGGAGCATCCGGATTCAGCAATTCCCACCTGCATGAATACACATCAATTGCATTTGTCACCAACAAATTATCATATGATCATAAATCACGTTTCATTATGAACCAAAAACCATCTCAATTGTACTGATTAAATATTACTTGTATCCAGTGGACAAGTGATGCAGAAAGACGGCAACTTGTATCCTGGCCAGCATATTTCCGGCGCAGATTCTCGGCCCTCCGCCAAACACTTGGTACGCTCCAGGGGCTGCTGGTACATGATTAATTGAAGCAAAGCGAAATTTTTCGGATTAGTTAACCCGTATCTGCAAATCACTAAATCCCATCGATCTGGGTTGAAGCACATGGGATGGTGCAAATTTTCGGGATTTGTATGCGAATATCGAGTCCAAAGTGCGGCTTTCCAGTTTTTGGGAATTCTGTACTTGAGCCAAAGGGTAAGTTAAACCAAGAAACTAACCTTTTTTGTGTACTTGAGCCCAGAGATATCGTCACTTGTAATGAACTCTCCAGCAGCCTTGTTCTTGCGTAAGGCCGTGTTCTCCTCCTATATAAGTGTACAAATACCGAATCCAACGCACTAGCTTTGAGTTCAAACTTTGGACATGCATCGTTTTGAAAGACGCATTTCTCTTGAGTTTATGCGTAAACGGTAAACGTACTTACACTTAATTTCCTGAGGACGTCAGGGTACTCGTAACCAGCAACCACAAGGCTCACAATGTTGTCCAACACTTCTTGTTCACTCAATTTATTTCCTTGCTCATCTTTGATTTGCCTCAATCCGTCCATCAAGTCATCCGTCTTGTAGCCCAACCCATCTAGGACGTCTTCTTCCTTTTCTCCGGCTCTTTCTTGAATACATCTGTCACCTTCTTCCTGCACTGCGACCAATATCGAACAATGTATGTTAGAGTTTTGTGGACCCATATCGTCAGAAAAATCCTAACCCGAAGGAGCGCGCCACGGATATATCGGTAATATAGGTTACTGGTACGAGAATATATAATAGAGATAGCAACCTGAAGAGCGTGGTAATATGCAGTTTCATGCACGTTCAGAGGTTGAGCTCTAACCCCTTTCACTATACCCCGGAATAGTTCGTCGACGGATGCTAATTCTGGCCCTGGCTCCAAACTTGCGAACAACCTTCCTATGTTCTCAAATGTCACCTAAAGAATTCGAACAAAATAACATGTCTTCCTGAAAATTGCTTATAAAATTCCCATAATTCATTCTTCATCCCATTCATGTTACCTTCTTGACTTGTTTGTAAGCGTTGATTCTGCCAGTCTGGGCCAGGATTGCAAGGCAGCAACAATGTTGGGCTGGACGAGGGATGCGATCCGTCGGAGAGCATCGGACCAGTTGATAGCATTGGTGACTAAGCTTCGGAGTCTGGTGTGGCTTGGCCCATTTACTGCCACGAGGGAAGTTGGCCCAACAAGTTCCAGACTGGGCCACTTGAGGATAAAGTCGGCGTCTTTCTGGTACACGTACTTGCTCACCGCCGGCGCAAACGCTTTGATCGTCGGTCGGCCGAACAGGTGGCTTCTGAACAAACCACCTCCGTCGCCATAACTGGTGCAAAAGGCATATTAGGTATCTTGCAAGCTAAGCACTCCATCCTCGTAGGGTCAGTATAAGTAATTAAATCTGGACCTTTAGATCTAAGTGGGCTCAGAAAATCCAAATCTAAGGGTTGTTAATTAAAAATATTTTATTTTCCATAGTTTTCATAATCGGTTCTTATCTTCTTCGTTTGAACTTGGATTTCATTTTTTTTTTTTTGCACACATGGAACGAGTTCGTTGTGCTCTACAAAATGAGATCAATTTTCAATATATTTCGAGAAACTTTTTTTACCAACTACATACCATATGGTAACTTCTTCATTTTTAAGTCGTTTCTAAAAACGTTTGCTCAGAAGGAACGAGTTCATCATGATCTATTGGATCTACAAATTTCTGGATGAAAAAATACTGGACCAAAAATTATCATACTTTACCACTATGGTATGTGGGTGGTAGGAATGGCAATGGGGCAGGTTCGGGGCGGGTATCTCGATACCCATACCCACCCCATGGCAGGTCGGGTCCAGGTCGGGTAATTTATCACGGGGCGCGGGTCAGGCCAGGTCGACCCATTGGGTATGTAATTTATGCGAAAAACATTAGAAACATTTGTTATTTTCATTAAAAGACCAAGATAGAAACCATAATATGATAAAATGTAGTTAAATTATTGAAGAAATTGAGGTTTTCACTTATTCACAACTTTATTATTTCTAAATATAATGTAATAAGAGGAAAATCCTAAGTAATTTGACTAATATTATATGTAATATAGGCAAGAACTGGTAGAGAATGGGGAGGGTCAGGACAGGTCGGGTCGATGAGAGGTACCCATGCCCGCCCCGCCCCGCCTACGGGGCGGGTTTGACCTACCCCAAAACAGGTCAAACAGGTCGGGTAAATCGGGTCAGGTCGAAATTGCCATCCCTAGTGGGTGGTAACTTGTGGTTAGAGGTGGCAATTTCAATCCAATCCACCAATCCAATCCATCAATCCATTAAAAATATCCACCTAATCCAATCCATTTAAATCCAATCCATTTAATCCAAATCCAATTGGATTGGTGGATTCATGGATTGGATCCATGGATCATTGGCAAATTACGGTTTAGTACCTATAATTTTTATTTTTTACATTTTGATACCTAAAATTTAGTTTTTTATACGAAAAATATCATTGGAAAATTACGTTTTGGTACCTAAAATTTTTCATTATGACATTTTAGTACCTAAACTTTTTACATTTTACATATTGGTCCTTGGTTGAGGATGTCATTTGGATTCATGGATAATCCACCAATCCACTTGATCAAATCCATGAATCCACCAATCCATTAGATCCAATCCATCCAATCCATGGATCCACCAATCCAATCCATCAATCCACCAATCCAATCCATTTGCCACCTCTACTTGTGGTAAACAATGATGAAAGTCGTAAATGACAGTTAGTATACTCCTACAATCATGTATTCAACTTATCATATTAGTATGTTCATACCATCATGGTACGCTTTCTTACCATATGGTATTAGATAGGGGTGGCTATACGGTCCGGTTAAATTGGCCCAAATTGATCCGGTCCAGTCCGGTCTTTTTGGAAATATAGGGACCAAAGCTTGGATTGGGTACAGTCCGGTTTTGACCCGATCCGGTCCCAATCCGATTTTGACCTGTTTTGACCCATTTTGACCATTTTGCAAAAATTCAGCAGCATATACCCATTTTTCTAGAACGTAGACAACCTGTTTTTTTTTTTTTTTATCAGGAATGTAGACAACCTGTTAGTAGCAAAAATCAAGCCAAACATGTTCCAATACAAAATCACAACCATCATTGATGTCTATTACAAACTCAAAGTCCAAACCAAAGATTCATAATAAAAATAAAGTGCATCACAAGTTCACAACCAAAGTTTAGACATCAAACACCAATTATTACCTTATCTTGCTGCCGGTACCCTGCACAAAACAATTCAATCTATATAAGAAAATGCACTTTTTTGCCTTTTCCATTGAAGAACAAACAACCTAGCTGCTGCTCACTAATCCCCTCTATCTTTCACCATTCAATTCATCACATTCCACCAATCAATTAATCACTAAAATTTAGCAAAGATAAACTACAACTAATTACAAATAATATTAGTAACTTACCCAGCTGATGCCGGCTGTGTTGGTCGACGACCAGAGGACGACGAGCCGACGAGATGCAGAGCCGACGAGATGGAGTGGAGGGCGGAGGGTGGCTTAGTTGCGATGGCCGACGGGTCGACGGGACAGGACGGAGGCTGGCTGCGTCGCGGAGCGCGGATGGCGACCAGCGACGAGAGGTTGGTGGAACGTCCGGCGTCGAAGAGGAGGTGGGTCGCGACGTGTGCTGGCTGCCGGGCTGGGTCGCGACGTCGCGGAGCGCGGATGGCGACCGGCGATGAGAGCTTGGTGGAGCGTCGAATGGCGCCGGCGACGATAGCATGGTGGAGGCGTGGAGCGGCGAGCCGGCGATTGTGGGAGGATGGAGGAGAAGCTTGGCTGGGGGAGGATGGAGGATGGAGCGGCGACTGCTGCTTTGCAAGCAAAGTGAAATCAATTAATCAAACCCTAGGCTACTGCTTTGACAGAGAATCTCGGCTGGGCCTGGGAGGGAGGGGAAAATGGGTCGAGTTGCAGACTTGTAGTGGGTGGGCTTGGCCTGCCCCTAGACTTATTTTAGTTATCCGGTCTTCCGGTTTTAACACGGTTTTGACCCGGATTGGATTGGTCCGGATTTTTGCTATTTCTAAGACCAAAGACGGAATTGGATTGTTTTAAATCCGGTCCCGGTCTTAAAAGGTCCGGGTTATACGGTCCGGTTTTCGGTTTTTAATCCGGTCCCGGTCCAAATAGCCATCCCTAGTATTAGATATGAGAATACCATATGGTAATTACTGGTAAAAAATTATTCAATTTTTTTGTACTAAAAATATATCAAAGTGGATATCATTTTAAAGAGCACATTTAATCTGATTTATCTGTGCAAAAAAGTTTAAATTTCGACTTAAAACGAGAGAGAAATCGTCCGTTAAAGATTAAAGAGGAAAAGATAAAAGACTTTCCAGGAGAAAGGGGATGCTAAAGTCATGCGGATGTGGACATGTTACTGTTGGTTACTCACCATAAGGGTAACTGACTTGATCCGCTCCCTTTTGGATGTGGTATACTTTTTTTTATAGAATGGATGTGGTATACTGGTATTAGGTAATTTGAACATTGTTTTCATATTTATTTATTTTTAAATACTTAATTTCAAATATATCAGGACTATTGATGTATTATTAGACATATCATAGAGATTTTACGTGTACTTATTTGAAACGCAACGTAGCTATACAGTATTTTATCTGAGATATCATAGAGATTTTACTAGTACGTTCATTACCACTATCCATGATATCATCTTTAGTACTATCAAGTTTTAACTCCTTGGTATAGAGGTGTGAGGTATGACTCGACTTTTTTGTTCCCAAATATATCAAAATAAATGTTATTGAATAACACTGTTAATATAATGTTTATCTAAGAAAGTTTAAACTTCGAATGAAATTGGTCATAGATAAATATTAACCCTTGTTTATAAATAGGAAATTTTATGATACAAATTAAATTTTTATCTTTAACGCTATGGTATAATTTTAGTTTGTACCTAGACATTAACGTATAAATTATTTTGTTATACAAATTGAACATATACGTCAACCTTATGTCACGAATTTAATTTGTACATATATAAATTTTCGTATCAATTCCTTTATTGTACAAATTAAATTTGTATTTTCAACATTAGAGTACAAATTCAACTTATACCGGAAAACACCGGTGCTTATGAGCATTGTAAAATTCTTCAACATTATTATTATTATTATTATTATTATTATTATTATTATTATTATTATTTTTGCAAATAGATTACTGCAAAATCATATATGGCATGTAGTTGATAAACAACATTTATTTAGATTTCCAGTTCAATTTCTTGCGTCTTTTGGAGTTGATGAAGTCGTCGGGACGTTTGACGACCTCAGTACCAAAGAAAAGTAAGCATCTCCCCCAAGAACGGAAAACCCATGTGGCCGGCGGGAAGCCTGATTCCGTTACCGGACAGCTTGAACTTCTCCGGCAACGCGTACCATCCCCATCAGCAGCAGCGCCCCGGCACCATCGCCACCGTCACCTCCATATATATGTCGGAAATTTCTCGACAATACAGATAAATATAACCACAAAAGATATAATTATTATTACCACTAGCCCTTATATTAATTAGCATCTTAAGCATATTTGTGTTTTTGAAGGAAGTATATTGTCGATGATGGAAGCGCTGACGAATTCGACAACGGAGTATTCTTTGGAATATGCGAGGTTAAAACTTTCTATTTCTATAGAATTTGCTGGAAGATTGCTTTGTAATTTTGTCATAGCCTGCACTTAGCTCCATCGCTATTGATCGGCTTGCAATGAATAAATTAATTAGTGTGATTTAACTTTTTGAGAGAAGTTATTGCTGGAAGTAGGGAAACCGGCGAAGAAAGGCGTCAATATGTAAGTACAACAGCAACCTGCCACAAACAAGTAGGTATGCGTTAATGGTGAAAGACAAAATACAGCAATTGGTGTGGGAGTGTTATTGGTTCACAACATGAGAATGCATGCTGAGAGAGAATTGCCTTCGATGGGTCTTGAAGATGAACTTGTGACCACTTGTGTCGTTTGTGATATCGCATCTTTGGATGAGTATCGCGCACATAGTTGACACCAAAGGTTGTCAACTGATCACGGGTTGATTGAGGAATTTTACAATGTTATATAGCATTGGTGCTATAGGTTTTTACTTTTATGGTACAACTTAAAATTGTACATTTAATGTTATGGTACAACTTCAGATTGTACCTATACTTTTTGTACAAATTCTTTTATGGTACAACTTAAACTTGTACCTTATGTGATGGTACAACTTCAAGTTGTAAAGTTGTACCATAACATAATGATACATATTCCTTTATGGTACAACCTACACTTGTACATTTAATGTTATGGTACAACTTCAAGTTGTACATTAAAGCACCAATACTATATAGCATAGTAGAATTGCTCCGGGTTGATTTGGGTTGATTCTGATTCGGTGAGAAAGATAAGTGCCACACGCTTGTGCGTCGATAGACTCGTTGTAAGGTTTTTAATTTGGGTTGGAAGTCAGACGACATCGTTTTCCCGTCCGATTTGTGAAATGTGTCTCTTATTCGGGTTTTCAACTTCGATTAATCTCTATCTTTGGAAATCTAAGTTGAGCATTTGAATATTGATGTTACATAAGTGTGTTAAAATTTCCATTATATGTTTGGATTCAAGTGCGAGCTGTTGTTTTGGTGCAATGTTATTTTTTATATGAGATATTATATAGTTTATAAATGTATGAGCAATATAATGACTATTTTCATATATTGGTGCTAAACCTGACTAAAGTGATCAAACCATTAACCCTAAACGAACTTGTTCGACCGAACCAACGAGCTAAATCAGATTGAAAACCCAATTAACAATTATATACAATAAGGAAGAATTTGGTGTTGAGCAGTTTTGGTTCGGGAGTGAGTTTTACTCGTTTACAAAATATGGGTTTCGAAGGGCACTATTCATTAGATTCAAATCGCTAGGAATTTCGGGTATAGATTTTGTTAAAAACTCAACTTGTTGGTATCTCGACCCGTTCAAAGCAAGTTAAACCCGATGCTGAGGAATTTTAGTCAGAAATGAGTTTTACCTTCTTTTGTAATTGACAGGTTGGGTCGGGTGTGAATTTATAAAACTCTATCGCCTCGCTTTATCATAGTTTTGATGGTGTTAACGAGCTTTGGGTTGATATTTTAGTTAATAAAAATTTAAGTGTCATTTAAACCTACATTTTTTCCTTTTATGATAGTTGAATCCAAAATTCTAAATCCATGGGTATTTAACCGGGAGCGGATCAAATCAGTAATCCTTATAGTGATTAACCATCAGTAACCTGTCCACATCCGCATGACATTAGTACCCCCTCTCTCCTGGAAAGTCTTTTATCTTTTCCCCTTTTAATATTTAATGGACGATTTCTCTCTCGTTTTTAGTCGAAATTTAATTTTTTTTTGCACAGATAAATTAGATTAAATGTGCTCTTTAAAATGATATCCACTTTGATATATTTTTAGTACAAAAAAATCGAATAATTTTTTACCAGTCATTACCATATGGTATGCTCATATTTAATACTATATGGTAAGAAAGCGTACAATGATGGTATGAACATACCAATATGGTAAGAAGGTTGAATACATGATAGTAGGAGTATACTAACTGTCATTTACTACTTTCATCATTGTTTACCACAAGTTACCAGCCACATACCATAGTAGTAAAGTATGGTAATTTTTAGTCCAATATTTTTTTTACCCAGAAATTTGTAGATCCAATAGATCATGATGAACTCGTTCCTTCTGAGCAAACATTTTAAAAAACGACTTAAAAACGAAGAAGTTACCATATGGTATGTAGTTGGTAAAAAAAAGTTTCTCGAAATATATTGAAAATTGATCTCATTTTGTAGAGCACAACGAACGCGTTCCATGTGTGCAAAAAAAATTGAAATCAGAGTTAAAACGAGGAAGATAAGAGCCGATTATGAAAACTAGTGAAAATAAAATATATTTAATTGACAACTCTTAGATCTGGATTTTCTAGGCCCACTTATATCTAAATGTACACATTTAGTTACTTATATGTCAGTAACCAATGGTTATTGGCCCTATCCTAAGCCTATTCAACCTAATTCGACCCAGTTAAAACTAGTTGAATAAGTTGTTGATTAATTTTGGTCGGGAGCGAGTTTAACCCGCTTTGCGATTGATGGGTTGAGCTAGGTGTAGTGATAGACCGTCATTTACACATGTTTTTACCCCCGTTCTTACACCGTTTGAGGTGTTGATTCTCGTGTTTTAGGCCGATTTCACGCTAGGTTGTGCTTGTTTGTGATATTTCAGGTCCTAGTACGTGAATGAAGGCTTAGGAGCGAGTCTGGGGTCGATTGGACGAAGAACGGACGAATGGCGAGGTTTTTGGGGAGCTGCACGGGCAGACCAGGGAGGCTGCACGGCCGTGCACGGTTGCAAGCTGGCCGTGCGCCTCATGCCGAGGAGATGCACGGGCAGGCCCTGAAGATTGCACGGCCGTGCACCTGGCCGTGCAAGAAGCCTGAGTTCGACTTAAGGGATACGCTGCGTTTCATGGTGCACGGCCAGAATGGTGAAGTGCACGGCCGTGCACCCTGGCCGTGCAACTCGGGAAACCCAGTTTTAAAGCCTAATCCGAGCCAGAAGTGGGAGAACAGAGTTTTCAGAGCAAAAACAGAGCCCTAGAGAGAGAAAGTACGAAGAACACATCCTAGAAGCTGTCTTAGAGCTGGATTTCATCGAATCGAGCCTGGAGATCGTCATAGGAGTGAAAATCATCGTCCCGGAGCAAATTATCCTCATCGTTATGAGTATGACTAATCCGATTCCTGTTTTCTCTTCTCTCTCTATGGAGTAGAACCCTTCTCTCACTTGGGGATGAAGAACCCTAGTTCCATGTGTTAGGGGATTGATTGTAATGACTTGGGATGATACTACTGTTTGATTTTAATCGAATGATGCATGTTTCATGAATTGATTTGAGTCTGATCAGCTTGTCTCAATTTCTGCTTCAACCTGAGATAGATAGAATCTGATTAGGTTGTTAGAGCCTCTTCATTCGATAGTAGGAGGTTGGCTATACGAGAGTTAGCCAGTTTACTGCTTTGTACTGGTGTTCTTGGCGCCAGTAGTGGAGTTCTGTGTTCATAGCCTCAGCTTTCTATCCCGGTGAAGACTAGTCGTCTGCCGGGTAGTTAGACTGAGAGGGCTTGGTCAGCTTAAGAGATTCCAAGCTACTGTCGGATCTTCCGCAGTCTAATCAACAGTAAATCAACCCAGGGTAAATTGCAATTGAAACCTAACTAAAGAGCTAGGGGGATTCATTCCCGAGTGACTCTTTCCTGCTTAAGAAAACCGAATAATTTCCTGCTTTATTTCTGCTTTTAGTTTAAACAACAATCACTTACTCTAGTTGGCTAGATAACAGAGAATCACTGAGTAAGCAGTAGATCTAGACCCCGGGTTGATAATATAACTTGCCTGTTACTGCATTCCCGGTCTGCGATTACACTTGGTCGCAGATTGGTGTTGTGTTTTGGCGTGTCAAGTTTTTGGCGCCGTTGCCGGGGAACCTCTAGGTTATTGGGGAAACGTGAGAATTTGTTACTCTAGCTTTTATTTTCTGCTTTTTATTTCTTCCACTTGTGTGCCTTCACGGGTTGTTTCTGCTGATTGTGTGCAGGTAGTGCATGAGCCGTAGCCAGTCGGGAGATCTACTACCACTAGACCAGGAGCTTGAACGAACCTGCAGAAACTTCAAGCGGGCTCTAAAGGCGCGACTGGCTGCGGAGGAGGCGCTATCACAGCTGCAGTTAGAGGAGGAAGAAGAAGAGATGGCTGAACCAGGGAACCATGATATGATCCCTGAGGAGCAGACCATGGGCTCCTACTGGACCGCTAGGGCTGCGGACATGAGGTCACCCATTCAGCACCCTCAGGTCCCAGCCAACAACTTTGAGGTGAGCACCTCCGTGATCACCATGCTGCGCGGTTCAGTAGTGTTCCGTGGTAAGGAGGGAGAGTGCCCTCGATCACATCTCAGGCGATTCCACGAGCTCATCGATGGAATCAAGATCAATGGGGTACCAGCAGATGCCATCCAGCTGAGGTACTTCCCATTCACTCTGGAGGGGCAGGCCAAGGAGTGGCTAGACACTCGATCTCCGGGCTCCATCACCACGTTCGCCAACCTGGCGGACAAGTTCCTCACCCGCTACCATCCTCCATCCAAGACAGCTGACCTGCAGAAGCAAATTACACATTTTGTTCAGGATGAGGATGAGACCATCAGGGATGCATGGGAGAGGTACAACAGTCTTTTCCTCAGGTGTCCAAATCATGGTTTCAACGATGCGCTCAAGGTGGGCACCTTCTATCACGCCCTCTTCCCGGAGGACAAGCAGCTGATCGATTCGGTTTGTGGCGGGAACATGCTGACCAAAACCCCGCCACAGCTGAATCAACTCTTTGAAGAGATGGCGGAGAATGGTTATGATTGGGGCACTGCCAGGAGATCGAGGAGAGCACCAGGCCGGGGTGTGCATGCTGTGGGCACCCAGTCATCCGATTTGGTGCAGGTAGTATCGAAACTGGTCTCAGCTATCGATCGTTCCGGGATGATTCCAGGGACCGGACAGCAGCAGGCGATGCTCTGCCAGTGGTGCGAGAGCACCCATCATATGGTGGAAGACTGCCAGGCGATGAAGGAATCGACCACGCCCCAGGAGCAGGTGAACTTCATCAACAATGTCAGGCGCAATGACCCCTACAGCAACACGTACAATGAGGGGTGGCGCCAGCATCCTAACTTCTCCTGGACTGGGCCAAATCCCAGACCACCAGCTCCACAGGGACCACCGGGCTTCCAGAGGCCACCATATCAGCCCAGACAGGGGCAATTCCAGCAGCCAGGTGCAGCCCCTGCTGCCCCAGTGCAGAATGATCAGATGGCTGAACTGCGGGACTTGGTGGGTTCTCTTGCCAGTGTCAGTGCTCAGAAATTCAACACCTTTGAGCAGTTCATGGAGAAGGCCTCGGGTCAACTCCTGGCTCTGGAAGCTGGTCAGAGGAATACACGGGCTGTTTTGCAGGATATCCAGACCCAGCTGGGGAGCGTGGCCCAGGCAGTGGCTCAAAGGGCTCCTGGTACTCTACCAGGGCAGACCATCCCTCACCCGCCGACCCCGAATGAGCGCTGCAATGCCATCATGACCAGGAGTGGCAAGATGACTGTTGATCCCCCTGCTCGGGAACCGGAGAAAGAAAGCCCTGTCTTAGCGGCTCCAGCGGTTGAACAGGAAGTAGAGAAGGAAGTTGAGGTGCCTGCACCTAAACCGCAACCAGTAGTGAAGGAGTATGTCCCTAAACTCCCTTTCCCTACTCGGTTGCACAAAGACAGGCTGGAGGCAGAGTTCGAGAACTTCATGGCCATGCTTAAGAAGCTGAATGTCCAAGTGCCCTTCCTGGAGGCACTATCGCAAATGCCAAAGTATGCGAAGTTTCTGAAAGAGCTTCTCTCAAAGAAGCAGAAGCTGAGTGAGCTGGCCACGGTAGAGCTCAGCGAGGAATGCTCGGCTATTCTGCAAAACAAGCTTCCGCAGAAGAAGAAGGACCCAGGTAGTTTTACTATCCCGTGCTCTATTGATAAATTGCATGTAGAGAAGTCCTTGGCGGATTTAGGTGCTAGTATCAATGTTATTCCATATAAATTGTTCATGAAACTAGGCCTAGGTGAACCCCGTGCTACTAGGATGACCCTTCAATTAGCTGACAGATCTGTAGTGCATCCTAGGGGTATAGTGGAAGACCTTCTGGTTAAGGTTGGCAAATTCACATATCCCGTGGATTTTGTTATCTTGGACATCAGTGAGGACACAGAAGTGCCTCTTATACTGGGAAGGCCTTTCCTGGCCACCGCCAAGGCTCTCATAGATGTGCATGATGGGACCTTAGTTTTGAGGGATGGCGAGGAGCGAATTACGTTTTCTGTTGCTGATAATATACCTGCTTCGTCACCTCTGCATGCTGTATCTCACCAGGAGCACGAGTCTGTCGTGTATCCTTCTGTGCTGCCTATTTTGCAGGAACCGCCTCCCACACCTTCGCCGCCACTCCGGACCACTCCGTCACCCAAAGAACAGATCAAGGAGGAGTGGCGGCCGAAACTGCCGGCAGCTAAGCCTGCTCGAAAGGAAGCCGGAGACCACTATGAGCTGGTCCCGCCCCCTCCTTGGCCATCCGAGTATTCACTCGCTTGCATCCTACCGGATGGCCAAGTTGAGCTGGCGAATGCAGGTGGCCACATTCGTCGCGTGCATGGCCACCATTTGAAGCTGTACCTCAAGAGCGATGTGGATCCGCTCTTGAAGGCACCTGATCCTACACTTCCCTGAGCATCCATACTGGCGTCCAGCTAAAAGACGGTAACGAAGCGCTTGTGGGGAGGCAACCCCACCGAGGTTTGCATTTTCTTACTCTTTTTCCTTTGATTTTGTGTGTTTTTGAGTCTTGAGACGTTGATCCAGAGTTACGTGTCTTTTTTGAGCGAAAACAGGTTGATTTCGGGACTCCAACAAGTCGCACGGCCAGGACCACAACTTGCACGGCCGTGCGGGAACCCCCCTTGGCCGTGCGAGCTCTCGGCCAAAAGCGCACGGCCAAAAGCGCTTATTGCACGGCCGTGCGCACGTCCTGGCCTGACCGTGCGTCTTGCACGGGCACCATAATGCCTCGCATGGCCGTGCGGGTATTCCCCCTTGGCCGTGCGAGCTCTCGGTAAGGATGGCACGGCCATATGTGCCAGGTGCACGGTCGTGCGCTTCTCCTCGGCCAGGCCGTGTCGGCTGCACGGGCAAAAAACCAGCCTTGCACGGCCGTGCGCCCCTGCCCGTGCAGCCGAGGCACGGCCTATTTATATGGCCTGCACGGCCATTGTGGTCATAAAACCAAAACCACTCGCCGGAATCCTCTGCCCTCGCCAGAAAACCGCGCAAAACCCACCTTTTTTCGATTTTTTCGGCCACTTTGGGTAATTTTTTCACCAAACAAACTACAAACCCACTCTTTCTACACCCAAAGCGGCCTATCCCTCGATTTTGAGCGAGTTTGGGCGACGTTTTCGTCGCCGGAGGCGATTTCCGGCGAGACTCCGGCGAGACTCCGACGAGCATTTCCGGCCAGTTTTTTGGCGTTTCATCACTTCCATTGTCTTCCCCTCATCATTCCCTACACCTCTACTTGAGTCTCCAGGGCAATGGCGAAACCTAATTTCCAGCACCCGTTCATCCGGGATCTGAGGAGGGGACCCACCGCAGAGCGCTTCAAGGAGGTCGCGGAAACCCCGTTTGGGTCACACCATTGCTGGTCCAAACGGGAGTTTCGGCGATTGCACTGCTACGAGCAGCTCTCCGCCGCGGTCGCCAACACCGCCTGGCGCCGTCTGCTCCAGCTCTGCGAGAAGGTCTACTACGAGCCGGTGTGGGAGTTCTACACGACCTTCAAGCACAATACCACGGACAACTGGCAGGACGGTACGGCCGTCCAATTCAGGCTGGGCGGGGTCCCCCGGTCCTTGAGCTACCACGAGCTGGCCGAGGCTCTCGACCTCGACCTCGACGACCGTGAGGACTACGTCACCGAGGTGAATGAGCCACCGGCGGTGGACTTCGGGAGGCTGTACACCAGCCTGGCTCGGCCAGGCCAGACGCGTCCCTTCCGGTCAGGGAGGACGAAGGCCTCTACCCTGCAGATCGACAACCGACTTCTCCACCACCTGCTGGTGAAGTCTTACACTCCTGCAGCTGACAGCGCCGGCGCCATCACGAAGAGGTCCCTGTACTTCCTCCATTCGATCCGCCAGCGCCGCCATCCTCTCCACCTGGGTTCAGTGGTGGCCAAGACCTTCGAGAAGACGGCCACAGAACTGAAGAGCCTCCACTGCGCCCCCCTCATCACCCGTCTGGCCACCTTCTTTGGCCTTTCACTGCAGGGGTGCACCGAGGAGGGGGACACCCTCATCTTTGGCCGCACGACGATCAGGAAGATGCTGCTGTTGCGGGAGAGGAACGGTGTTCAATGGGTCGATGGGTTTCCGGAGCCTCCGATCCCCGCGGAGCCCGTACCAGAGGAGGAGGAGGCTGCCGATGAGGTGGATCCCGAGGAGGTGGATGCTGCTGCTGATGCTGCTGATAATCCCCCACAGACTGACTTCCATTTCGGGGGTAGCAGCTCCAGTTTCCCGGGGCAGGATTACTTCACTTCCCAGTTCGAGCAGCTGCGTCTCTAGAACCAGCAGATCATCGACCATCAGCTGCAGTTCCAGCAGCAGTACGCGGCTCACCAGGCCGAGTACCACCAGAGGATGGCGAG